ATAGATCTCAGCTGGGTGATTACTACCAGCAGCTGAAGATATAACAAGTTCAAGTTCAGCTTAAGCAATTTAATGAGAAGGTATTTCAAAATGGAAAGTAAAGTAGATGCCAAGGGTACAGCTCAGTGGTAGAGTATAGAATATGTGAGGCCCTAGATAGAGGAGAATGGAGGATGTACTGCCCTGCCCCGTGGTCTTTTACTATTATTATTAATTAAATGTGTTAGTGTATCTTGCATGTGAGTATATGCACATAAAACAGGTGTCTTCGGAGGCTAGAAAAGGTATCAGATACTGTGAAGCTAGAGTTACAGACAGAGGTGATCCAGCTGACACAGATGCTGGGAATTGAACTCAGATCCTCTAGAAGAGCAGCAAGTGTTCTTAACCACTGAGCTATCTCTCCATGATCTTTTAAGGGACTTATAGTGAGAAATAGGAGGAGACGAGGAGTCATCTTTACTGAGAATGGTCATTTCTGAGCACACAGCAGATTGAACCAATGAGGAGTCCACACCTTATACATGTTCTCTTAGTTGGAGACATGATCCCATCACAGGAATCATCATGACACACCTTTACTGCCTAAGGGGAGCTGTCTCCTGTCTCACTGCATTGTCCGTAGGAAGCTGGGAATGTAGCTTCCTCTGTAGAACATTAATTAGCCTAGCATGTTTGATCCTCTGCCTTGAAAAACAAGGAGATAGGAAGATGACAGGAACAGAAAGAGGAAAATTAAAAGGCCCCTTGAAGACTATTCTGAAAGCAGCAGATGGAAGAGAGAAGGGGGCTAAGAATATGGATACATTTTCCCTTGCCTTTGGGCCAATAGAGTCAAAAGAAATCAGCCAACATTCATCCCCTTCCCTCCAAGCAACTGAAGATGTAGGTTCTCCCAGCTCCCAGTGACCCAACACTTCTACTGAAAGTCAGTCCTGACCAAGCAGCGGTGGTGCACGCCTTTAATCCCAGCACTTGGGAGGCAGCGGTAGGTGGATCTCTGTGAGTTCGAGGCCAGCCTGGTCTACAGAGGGAGTTCCAGGACAGACTCCAAAGCCACACAGTGAAACCCTGTCTCAAAACACCAAAAAAGAAAGTCATAGTCCTGTTCCTAAACTGTGAACTCACATTCCACCATCACTTCTAAAACTAACCTGTCTGCCTCAAAAAGTGGGTGGGCTATTTCCTAAATCTCACTTGAGTGAATACCATCACTGACAAAGGTAAGGTAACTATTTCCATACATCTGCAAATTAGAGCCACCACAGAGCCATTGAGATGGCTCAACTAGCAAAGACCAAACCTGATAACCTGAGTTCAGTCTCAGGAAGGAGAAAACTGACTCCTACAGGCTGTCCTATGCTATCCACATTGGTGTAATGGCATATGTTTGCACACTCGTGTGCATAAATACACACAAAAACAAATAATAAATGTAAAAAGGGTATTGAAGTCAATCACTCCCACCATCTCACACACCACCAGTCTTCTAGAAATAACAGTCCAGCCACTTCCGGGGACAAGTAAAACTACATCTTGTTCAGTTTCATTGTTTTCTCTTTAATAAGCTTTCTACAGTCTAGTCATTTGCCTCCTATTTGCTCTTGCAAATACAAACTAATTTAACTAATTTAAAAGGTTTTGTGAACTGGTCAGAACCTAAACCTTGTTCCACAAAGATAACATCAAGCACTTTTTAACAATTAACCAGCTTTTCAGAGTCTATACATTTGGATTCCACTCAGTACCCAGCCTGTTCTTTTGAGTCAAAAGCTTTGTGCTGGGAATAGCCAGCATGCACACACAAGCCAGGACCAGGGAAATTCAGAATTCAGTGACACAGCCAAATGGGCTGAACTTAATGTTATGGACGTTACCCTAGGGTATCACTGTCAAGTTTTTTTTTTCAACAGTAACTTACTCTTCTTTTTCTCCCAGAGACAGGGTCTCACTATATAGCTCTGGCTATCCTGGAGCTCACTATTTAGATAAGCTGGTCTGGAACTCACAGGGATCCACCTACTTCAGCCTCCCAAGTGTTGGGATTAAAGGTGTGCTTCACCACACCCAGCCCTCTGGCTTATACTTAAAAGACAGCAGCTTTCCAGTTTGAACCATCTTAGGAAATCAGGCCTAGGTAAGGGGGAAGAGTAGATGAACACACCTGTACAATGAGGCAATACGCACTCCTCAGAAAAAAAGGAGCACATCCAAGAGTCTTACAAAAATGTAGTCAGTTAATTCACAAGTCTCAAGGGGGCAGATGAATCTCTTCTTTTTTTCTTGAAGTCAGTCACCACTACTCCCACACATCCAATGGCTCTGACTGGCACATACTTTGTGGGAGAAGAGAACCGTACTACAGAGGGCCTGTGGTCATTTTATGTCAGCAACTAAAATAAACTGTTTCCTCTCTCTCTCTCTTTCTTTCTTTCTTCTCCTCTCTCTCCTCTCTCTCTCTCCCTCCCTCCCTCCCTCCCCCTCCCTCCCTCCCTCCCTCCCTCCCTCCCCCTCCCTCCCTCCCTCCCTCCCTCCCTCCCTCCCTCCCCCTCCCTCCCTCCCTCCCTCCCTCCCTCCCCCTCCCTCCCTCCCTCCCTCCCTCCCTCCCTCCCTCTCTCTCTCTCTCTCTCTCTCTCTCTCTCTCTCTCTCTCTCTCTCTCTCTCTCGGGAGTTTGTCTATCTTTCCCAAACCCCTATAGCTACAACACACTTGGCTACCCTCTCAAATATAAGCTCAAGGGAGTGTCTTAAAGGGACAGGAATTGCTAAAAATGCAGCTGGGTTTCCTATGAGACTCACTGACCTGAATACAGCTATGGTATTTCCCCCATGCCTCAACAGACCAGTTAGTTTAAAATTATAAATGACTTCCAGCTGCTGGTATCCATTTCACTGGGCTATTAGGGAACCTGAGGAGATAAGGTGACAAATGTTCTAGAAATCAGCAGGCCCTTGTGATGCTTTAATTTTCTAAACTCCAGCCTAACTTAGCTGCTCGGGAGTACTATCACAAATGTATTCCGTGAGATCAATTATTTAAAAAGTAAATTTACAAAAGATGAAACAGCTAATACTTAGGTATAACATTAACCCATAAACTTCACAATAAAACATGCTTACTACCGTTGAAAGACATAAGCCACATACGAATTTAGCAACACCTATTAGATATCATGACCTTTGGAACTGGCATTTCCCAGTTTCGGGTCAGATAACACGGCAGTGGGGAGAAGATGAGGGATGTAATCTAATCCCTAATGCCCGTGTACATCCCGGGCTTCTGAAATAGCCTCCTCAGAAGCAGCATCTTTCACATTTACTCTCAAGAAACCAAGGCAACTTTTTAAAGAAAGTGTACCAAACATAATCAACAGACAATAGACTCAACAGCACCGACAGTTAATGTGGGCAACACACACCATAGGAAGCCCAGTGCCCATGGCTCAAAATGAAAGGAAAAAGTGACACAGTCTCTCTAATGGCTCTCCTATCTGGGAAGAAATACCTTTAGAAATGAGCTTCTGGGGCCGGGTGGTGGTGGCGCACGCCTTTAATCCCAGCACTCGGGAGGCAGAGGCAGGCGGATCTCTGTGAGTTCGAGGCCAAGCTGGACCGACAGCCTCCAAAACAATAGAGAAACCCTGTCTCGTAAAACAAAAAACAAAACAAAACAAACAAAAAAAAAATGAGCTTCAGGGCCTGGGCAAGCACAGTGGCTCAGGCCTGTAATCTCTGCCTAATTATATATTTTTTTGTTTTTATTCTTTCAAGACAGAGTCTCACTATGTAGGCCCCCTATCTGTCCTGGAACTCACTATGTAGATCAGGCTGACCTTGAGCTTTCAGAGACCCACCTGCCTCTACCTCCTGAATGCTGATATTTCTGTCCTCAGGAATGCAAAGCCAAGCATGAGCTGTCTGAGTTCCAGACCAGACAGACTTACAGAGTAAGACCCTGTCTGTCTGGGGAAAAAAAAAAATCTGAAGAGTTTATTCACTGTAAGGATAAGGAAACTGTGAAGCAATAAGTTAGTACTTTTTAATTCGTGTTTTTAAGGTGGTATTTCCCATTCAGGATAGAAAGCTCCAAGCAATATGCCTGGTTCTACCACCTTCTAACACACAGAAAGAATGAGGAAGTGTAGGGGAGCCCATGGCTTCAAGGTAGCCACAAAAATGTTGACGAGTATCAGCAAGCAGGCCTTGTCACCCAAACTCTCCCACCCTCCTCTTAAAGCAGGACTTTCTGCCCAGATGACATGGGAGAAGACAAACAGGAGACCAAAACTGACTACAGCATCTCAAGACTGAAAAGACCAAAATCTTGCAATGAGATCATTTCCTGCTCTCAACTGTATGAAGGCATGGTTGTGATTGGTACACAGAGAAAAAGGAAGCTGAACACTGTCTTCAGAATGTTCATATTAATCCCCCTGTTGTGGTATCCTGCATTGAATCGTCCTCCTTATATGAGATAATGTACTTGTCATATAAGTAACCAAACATTTCATAAATAAAAGGCATTGGGGTGCATGCCTTTAAGGCCAGCACTCTAGAGGCAGAGGCAGGTGGCTATCTGGGAGTTCAAGACCAGCCTGATCAACACAGTTCCAGGACAGTCAGAGCTCTCTCCAAGGGGGCAGAGGAGGAGAGAGAGAAGAAAAGGGAATAGAATCAGATAGGAGAGTTGGGCCTTTGCTTTTCCACTTCCTTCCCCAGCTTCCTGCCTTCTAGTAGGACAAACTTGGCAGGAGCAAAGAAAGCACCCAGGAATCTCAATGAACTGGACAAAGTAAAGCCTGAATGAACAAACCCTGGCACAAATAAATGAAGCAGTTTTCTTAAAGTCAAAGAGCCGAAACGGAGGCTTCAAGCTGGTGGGCATCCTAAGGCAGCACTCTGATGGTCTCTCTAAACTGAGGGGTTGTAAGAATAATTCCTACACAGCCATGTCACACGTGGCCATCAACACTTCATCATCAGTCCATCCGTCTACTCACTTGCTTCCTTCTATAATGAGAACACTGAGAGAGTCCCAAAACAGTGGCCAGAGCTCCTCCGCACACAAGAACAGTCCGTTTCACTGCCTTTTGAAATGCCATTGCTCAGCCTATGAGGGAAAAAAATAAAGAGAATAAGTTAATTTCATTGCATAATTATCTTAATAAGACATTGTACAGATTATGACACTATCTCAAAGTAGACAAGGAAAACATAAAATAAGAAGGTTCCTGACGTGACAATGGGTATAGCGAAATTCAAAAAAGCAATAATTCAAAAAATCAGGACAAGGAAATTGATTATGTAAACCTTATATTCGGAGCTGACAGGAATTAAAGACAGAAATGCAAATTAAGAGACAGCTCAGGGTATTTAAACAGTATAAAGTCAAGAGAGCTGTGAAAAGAAATGTCATTGTGGATTTGACAAAACTACAAGCTGTACTTGTGAATTTGTTCCACTGCTAATCCCCTCCACAAGGGAAAGGGTGGAAGGCCTGGGTCACTCAACAGAACAATAAACCTGAGGCCTGCTTCAGGTCCTCAGGCCAGTATTCAGTTCAAACTCTGAAACAGCTTTCTGCAGTTCTCCCTTAATGAAATCCTCACGGAAGCCAAAAGCCAGCACACTGAAACAGTGGCCCTGGTCCTCTAATGAAATGATAACCTGCTGTAACTCCTTTTGCTGGAGGAGCTTTTAAGAAAAGAAGGAAAAGACAAGCAAAGGGGGTGGGGGTAAAGAATGTTTTTTTCTCCAGACGGTGACAAGACAGCAGTGTCAAGGAGAAAGCTCCTTTGTGTTCAATGTTGTTGCTAAATGAAGTGCTGTATTGTGTGAGGGCTTCCTTTCTTTTCCCCCTGGTTTTCTACTACTGGAATGTTGGGTTTCTTTTAAAGCTCTTGCAGATTTAAAATTTTTGCAGAATTCTTCGGAAGCCAAAAAACATTGCAAGATATAAGAATCCCACCCAAGTCTTCTAGTCTACTTTTATTCTTTTAAACACAAAAGGATAACACTGTGTGAGCACCTTGATTTTTTAACTTAGAAGCAAATAATTTGACCTGCCTAAACCTTTCCCTCCATTCACTGAAGCAGCTGGCACACCCACCTCTTACAAGGAAGCCATTACCCTGTTTTCCTGTAGGGTGGTGACCAGACCTGTCTGAACAGCTCACTTGCTCTGCTGATATGGAGTAACTCAGAACTTGCTAAGTTTAAAGGTAGTTCTAATTTAGAATAGAAAAAAATTTTAATGTAAATATGTTGGCTTCCATATTGAATGTAAAATATCTGTTCTACTCTCCTAAATTAAAGAATTTCAGTAGAGTTGATAACTAGATTCTACAAAGAACTCATTTTGGAATACTATAAATTATACACTAAAATAGAAGTTGGCATTTCTTAAATTTGTTCCATTCTCCTCCACAAATGCCAAAACTCCAACATGTTTTTTAAATCATCATTATTATTAACAGTCTTACCCAGGGAATATTAATTTAATTAGTTAATATATTGATATATTACATATAAATGCCCTGACATCAGAGGTCTCTTCTTTGTTGATGCAAGTTAGAAAGCCAGGGAAGACCAAGGGGACACAGGAAGGGAAATCAGTCCTCCCCTGGGCAGCAGAGAATCAAAAAGATTCCAGCTCAATCAACATTTGCTTAAAGGTCTCCTTCCCTAGCCATAAATGTGGAGTCTTCTAGAATAAACTCACTTACAATAAAGGGACATGCCCTAACTTCCTTACGGAAGTGCCTTTGGTTTTATCTGAAGACTGTAATCCTGTCCAAGGTATCTCTAGAGCCACTCTACAATCTCACTTCTCAGGAGGCAGAGGAGAGGGAGAGGGGAAGAAGGGAGAGAGGGAAGAGGAGAGGGAAAGAAACAGGTTTCTTAGCAGACTTTTGGGATGTAAGTTGAGAGTCACAAAAATATTTCATTCGGTTAATGACAAGAAACTAAGTGTGGCCCTTCCTTAAGGGCCCCATAGCCACATGTGGGTGTTTCTCATCCATTCCTTGAGCTTCTCTCCTTTGACCTTTGAGTTTAAAAATCTACAAAACTGCCTTTTAATAAGCTCACTCTTCTTTGAGAAGCTCACACCCCTGCTCTCGGCTGCTCTTCCCCTGAACACTTTCCTAGTTTCAGTCAGCTCCCACTCCACTTCACTCAGGCTAGAACTAAAATTCTTTTTTGGCCAAAGCCAGGAGTCTTGTGTTGACTTGAGTCAGGATCCCTAAAAGCCTGAGGGCACCCAGCAGCCTGCTTCGAGCAATGCGGGGCTGTCTCCATCTCTGCTACCGCAGACACTTTCCCTAAAAACCCATCCACTTTTGCTCAAACTGTGAAAGACTCTATGTATCTCACTAGGGAAGTCAACCATTCAGTTACCCTTAGGCCAAACCTTATCTTCTTTAGAAGTTAAAACCAAACAGGGTGTTGGTGGTACACACCTTTAATCCCAACACTCAGGAGGCAGAGGCAGGCAGATCTCTATGAGTTCAAGGCCAGCCTGGTTTATAGACCAAGTTCCAGGACAAGCTCCAAAGCAATAGAGAAACCCTGTCTGGAAAACCAAACACACACACACACACACACACACAAAAGCAGACACCCATTTGTCACAGCCTTACACTGTTTAAAGTGCCCATGTCAACAAGAGAAATAGTGGGGCCCTGAGACACCCTGTTGTCAGATGGTTAGTTTACTTGGGACAGAGAATGGAGTCCTACTTTTATGTATCCACACATGCCTACCCCATATAGACAGAAGCCTGGTGGTCCACCGGATGTGAGTGTGATGGCTGGTTGACTTAGGGTAGTAAAACCATTTGTCTTGCTGATAATGTCATTCATGACCTCACAAAGGAAACCACACATCATCAAGGGCAGCTGTGGGGTTGTACATATAAGTCAATGAGAATCTCTCAGCATTAGGTTTCCCCTCAGCCAATTAAGTTTAGGGCTGATTCTTCCAAAAGCGTGGCTTTCCTACCCACCTAATTGTGACCTTTCAATTTAATTTTCACATACCAAAATTCACAAAAGATTTTTATTTAATAATCCACTAGTACTAATAAAAGACTGTATTCACATTAACACTAGAGTTAACAGTAACTTTCAGTGTAGTCATCTTTTTCTAATTTTATGAAATAGTTAAACGATTATTTCTACTGAGACCCTATCTCTAAAACAAAAACAATTATTAAATTGTTTCTACAACTATCAAATCCTTCTATACAGTCACCCAGCTACCTGTAATGAATAAAACACACACTTAGGCAGCCCAAAGTCCAAAGCATAGACTGTTTCTCCCTGTTATCCTAGAATCAGCATTGATAGGTTTGGTTTTTATGAGAATGTTGAAATGAGGCTGGCTGTGACAGTACATGCCTTTAATTCCAGCAGCTGGGAGGCTGGAGCAGGAGGATCTCCATTATTTCCAGGCCAGCTTGGTCTCTATAGTGAGACCCTGTCTAAGAAAGAAAGAAAGAAAAAGTCACAATGACAACAGCTGTCATTCATAAAGTGTTTTTTGCTTTACTTCTTTTCACCTTAAAACATCTAGTTTCAGTTGGAGAGATGGCTCAGTGGACAGAGTTTGCCTCAGAAGTCGAAAGACCTGAGTTCCAATCTCAGGACCCACATAAAAGACAGGATTTGGTAGCATGTATTTTATAAACCCAGCTTTCCTGCAGAAAGATAGTACGTGGAGAGACAAGACTCCCCAAGAGCTCACTGACCAGCTAGCCAAGTGAGAAAAGCAGAAGGGTCCATCTCAAAGTAGAAGGCAAAGACTGAAACCTGAGGTTATCCTCTAACCCACTCCTCAACACACACACACACACACACACACACACACACACACACAGAGGCATACACATACTACGTCATTAAAAGGTATAGATACAACCTCTGGCAAGGCTACACAGTGGTGGCACACACCTTTAATCCTAGCACTCTGGAGGCAGAGGAAGGCAGATCTTCGTAAGTTCCAAGGCCAGCCTGGTCTACCGAGTGAGTTCCAGGATAGGCTCCAAAGCTAAAGAGAAACCCTGTCTTAAAAAAAAAAAAAACAAAAAACAAAAAACAAAAAAACAAGGGTCTTGTTTTAATGTTCACAGAGATATATTTAAAAACAATAAAATATAAACCTTATACCACAGACACATATCTGTTACAGCACCTTATAAGGGAAAAGGTCTTACAGAAATTACAAAGAAAAGATTACTTCCAAGTATCAATTTTTAAAGTAATAAAAGGGGCAGGAAACATGGCTCAGCAATGTCTCTTCTCCCAGGGTTTGAATCCTGGTACTCACATGGTGGCTCACAACTGTCTTGAACTGCAGTTCTAGAGGAAGGAATACAAATGCTGTCTCAAGTACCAGGCATTCAAGTGGTACAAAGACATGCATGAAGGGAAAACATCCATACTCATAAAATATGATTCGTAAGTAATAAAATCTGCAATCAGGAAGTTCGAGGCAGAATAGAACAACACCAGGAGAAAAGAAGGGATGTGGGAAAAGAAAGCAGCCTCCCACCCTGGAATCTGCCCTACTGGAAACTTCAACACAACCCAAAAATCAAAATTAAGAGAGACAGTGTTTTGTCCTCAAGATTAAGCCATTAACAACAATGAACTCTGCTCACACAAGGTCAGGATGGCTGTGGTTGTGAGTTCAACTGTATTACCTCCCTCCCTCTCTCATTATAAACCTACACGAGGCACCTCAGAAACCCACCACAACATTTTGTTTACAAATGAAAATTCATCCAGGGTCTGGAGAGATGTCTTGACAGTTAAGAGTATTTGCTGCACCCACGAAGAGAAGTGCAATAGGTGATCTGATACCCTCACCTAGCTTCTGTAGGTACCAGGCATGTGCATGATGCACATACACAATACATACAGGCAGGCAAAACATTCATACACTTAAAATAAAAATATTTCTTTTTAATATGGAAGAAAATTCTTCAAAGGTAAACCAGTGCATATTTTTCCAAATTTTAAATTTCAATTAATTCCCAAACTTTGCTTAGTCTGTAAACTTTTTTTGATATTACATCGTTTGGTTAAGGTCGTTATGTTTCACTATGAA